ATTTCATTAATCATCGTCTATTCGCTAGAAATGCCGCTAATTCAATCGAAAATACGGACGCGTCTCACGATTATTTTTTACAATTGTTATTCTGAAATGTCATTCAGACTCTTTTTTTTCATATGTAAAATATTAAAAAAAGAACAAAATAGACGCTTTGACGCATTTCAAAGGCAAATGACACGTAAACGTTCAACACACTATGACTGAAGTTTCATAAATATATTCATAAATATTTTGCGTATTTAGATATATGGATAAATGGATCTATTTATAAAAGTACCATCGCATAACATAGAATATAAGTCATATTTTTCTTTGGCACATCTTGTCAACTAGGATTTCAATCACGATTTGCGCATTAATGCCTGTAGCTTTTTTTTTTTTTTTTTTTCGTAAATTTCTACGTGATAGAAACGTACGAATAGAATTGGACGAGTGCGCGAATATTTATTTCTTAATACGTAATTTTATACAACGTTGAGCTCTAAGATTCTAAATTATTTAAGTATAACGTACAAATATTCTCATATGTTTAACAACTATAACGATGATGTCTAGACGCGTGTGTATATATATTAATTTATTTATTTAATTATTTATACATAGCTTATACTTTCCGTATAATCAGCGATTTCCAAATCTATCTATGCCTCTAGAAAAATCACAAGAGGAACGTATAACGATAATATTTTTTTGTTTTTGTTTACTGTATCCCACGATTTAAATGTCATTACAAATATTCTGAGAACATTCTAATTGAAATTTTGTGTCCTTTTATAATATTTTATTTTCTTTATAAATCGTAATAACATTAATTATTTCATTTTTCCGCTACCTGGTCTTTTATATATATATATATATATATATATATATATATATATATATATATATATATGCAAAAACTCGCATTCAGTAGCTCTTTTAAAATTCTACTTTAAGGACGATTTATATTCCAAATAGGAATTTATCGACATGCCCAATCTCAGACTCGACATTATCGCTTTTCCGTTGATTAATATTATATTAATACGGACAAGGCACTGCGCAATGAAGTTATTTTTTTTTTTTTTTTTTTTAGTTACCTTAGATTAAGCTTTATTTAATTCGTAAAGTAATATTATTCCTTAATAATTGTTTATAAATTTTACGTTTAACAAAGTTGCCTAATAAAGCTCAAAAGCTTATCAAATGATGCCATTGAAATACAAAAAAATAGAAAAAAATAAAAAAAAATTAAAACTAAATTTAAAAGTGTATTGAGATTTGAAAATATCAAGATTTTTAAGAATTAACATTCGATAACATTTTACTGTATATTGTAAATTTAATAGTTGAAAAAAAAGTATAGTAAACGAATTTTCATGTAAAAAGAACTCTCATTATAAACAAAGAGATCGTGAATATATGTGTGTGTGTGTGTGTGCGTGTGCGTGTGTGTGTGTGTGCGTGCGTGCGTGTGCGTGCGTGTGTGTGTGTAGTCCTTTTTGAACTATTATTTATATCAAATCGAATGATATTAATTACTACGATTAGAATATCCTCTCATAATTAACAATAATTAATTTAAAAAATTTTGCCTCTCCAGGACATTTTAATCACGTGTCATACAGCCGTGATTTTTATTTATATTTATTTTAGCTAAAATATAAAACTGGTCCGAAAGCTTATGGTAGAGATTTTTTGTTTTTCCAACTTTTACACAGGCAACAAACACGACCGACCGACTATTATTTACGCAACATTTTTCTTTCTCCCAGCGCTTTCAACGTTTATCATTGTTTATCTTTCGAATGTTATAACGGTAGGCATTTAGCCCTCTTTTGCACAGTAACTTCTTTACAATCGACTTTATTGGAAGCGAAACTTTCCTGCTTTACCGTCTCCTCGATGGAAATTCTACCCAGACGTTTCTTCATTCGAAAAGGCGTTGCTTTTGGTGAATTAATCTCAAGCGCGTCGCTCGCGTTATTTTGACCGAGGCTCTTCTTTTTCGGACTTGCTTGGAGTTCGCGATTAGCAGCCTCCATTTCCGAATGATAATTTATGTGCTTTATTAATTGCTCGGCATTGTCATATAAATCGTCTCTCTTTTCCTCGCCAAGATCTGTGCTTTCAAATTGTCCCGTCGGCCTCGGCGTATTACTCGTCTCACTCGACTTGTCGTTATTCTCGGCCCCTGACCCTTTCATCTCACCTTTCTCAATATGCGTTACGTACGATATTTTCAAAGTCTCGTTTAAACGCTCATGTTTAGAACTCTTTAATTCCTTTTCGATTTTTCTAACCTCTTGCTCCACTGAAATTCCGATAATTGGCTTTTCAGCGGCTGCAATCAACACATCCGAGCCGTAGTTCTTTGAGCGAGGAGTTCCCAATGCGATTTGCGAAGCTTCGAGAATATCTTCACAAAGTGGATTTCTTGCCGATCCTAAGGCTAATAATACTCTAGGCTCGGCTTTTTGGCTCGTTGATTTTTCTTCATCGGCGTAATCGAGTGAGAGACAGCGTTTTTCAAAAAGCGCTGGCCCTAACGCATTGGTGTGAATGTTTTTGTCTGCTGATGGGCTCGTCGTTCTTGAATTATTATGTCTCGTTTCGATACTATTTGCTCTCGATGGTCTGCGAATACTATTTTCTCGCTCAATCGATAAACAAAATTCTTTGTCCGTAAGGAGAATTTTTTTTGGAAAGGGTTTCAATTGTGACGTATTATTAGTTTCGTAAGGCCTATCGATCGATGGAGTCTTAAGTAAGCTCTTTACCTTTTGTAATTCCGATAGAAGATCCAAGGTCTCTTGGGATGGCTCGTGAATTATTTTTCTGCGTTGAATCGATTCAGAATCGAGTGCGCTTTGCTCATTAGGATAATGAGAATGATCGACGCCTTGTTGTTTTCGCAGCACCGATCGAGCTCTTAATCTACGACCTTGGCTCTCCGATTGATCTTTCGAGTTGCAGTTTTGCTTGTGATTTTCGACTGATCTCGAGCGGAATTTTGGAGAAATTTCGGGCTTTATTTTTTCGACGATGTCTTTGGAGGTATAGCGAAGCGATGGTGAAGTACTTTTCTCTTTCACGATTAGACGTTTCAGAGCATTCGATGCGTGGAGATTACTTTGGGCTCTTCGCTTAAAATCGGCGTAAGTCTCTGTGAAAATTTCCTGATTTTCGAATCGATCTTGCATCTGCTTTACACTGGAGGTAGTCGATATAACGGATGTACTCGAGCTTTTTTCATTAACGTCGACAACTTTAGTATCTTTGATAATTTCCTCATAGACCGGAGTGGCGACTCTCTCTTTCGCCAAATTATCCGAAGAGACACCGCGTCTTTCAAATTGTTCGTGCCTAATTTTTCGCTTATCCAAAATGTCCTCTGAAATTTGTCGATTACTTTTCACCCTATCGAGCTCTTTATAAACGGCGGTAAGTTTTTTTGGTACAAGTGAAGTAGATATTTTCTTTATTGGCGAATTCGGCACGCTCACGTTATTATCCCGCTCCTTACCAGTCCTTATTGTCTCATTACTAGATATTGCAATATCGTTGCTTCTATCCGGATGTCCCCTTCTTTTTGGCGAATTTTCCCAACTGACTACGCCCATAGGTGAGTTTAAGTAGGAATTCGAGGATATTATTTCATCGCTCGTGGTAACTCGACATTTCACTAGCTCAGCTACACTCACACTCGGCGTCTCGATATCGGAATTCGTCGTGGGGCACGATTCGTTGATACGAGGCACATTATTCACTCTCGAATCGACCACATCGTCTAGCGAAGCACCTCTCAACGGATCCCGATGAGGAACTTTCATTACCAATGAATTTTCTTCAAGATCCTCGGTTTCGAACGAGTACATCTTCAGGAGAAAGTTTTTCCCCGATTTTCTGCGCTCTCCCGTTGTGAATCCTCTAATCTCGTTGCGCCTTTGTATCGATGCTTTATCACTCGTCTCTTCCGTAATTCCCGCTTTGCTGCTCACGTAGGCATCCTGACGCTTATTAATTTTGGGCATATCGAAGATAAATTTATCGAGAGTCTTTGACGAGCCGATATTTTCAAGAAAGGGCTTATCTATCGCCCGGCTAGGACCAATTTTCTCCAAATAAGGCTTACCCATAATTTTCGGCGCAAGTTTTGCCAATAACGGCCTATCCTCGGTCATGGATATACCAATTTTCTTGAGAAAGGGTCGCTTACGCTCTTTCTCCTGGGATTTGGCATTCTCCAAGAATCTTTCATTCAGTCGCTCGCCGCTGTAGTTCGACGAATTATCGCTGCTCTTTGATCTTGCTCTCTTATTCCGCGGATGGGGTGTAAGGGGCGTTCGCGGTGTCTTCGGTGTCATTCGCGGACTAGCATCAGCATTAGAATAAATTTCATCGAGTAGAGCAATGGCATCGTTAAGGTCCATGCAAGTCCTACGTGGCACGCGCATGCACGGATTTTCGCTTTCGATACTGCTCGTGCGCGTGGAGGCTACGTCGACTCCTCGTTTCGACATTGCCTCCTTACAGTTATTATTTTCCAGCTCGTTGGATTGGTAAACGGAAGACGAACTCAGTCCGAGTGGACTGTCTTTCGATACCGGCGAGTTCTCGTCAATGGCGTACCAGGGCTTGACGCGAAGCTCTTCCGGTCGGAGGGCTGGACTCTGGGGGCCGAGCGTCGCACTCCTGGTGAAGAGGCTTTTTTGATGATGAAGCTGCTGCTGATAATGATGATGATTGATTGGCGTAGATGTAGAAGGCGAGGGCACGACGGCGGTTGTCGTCAACGAGACGATCGATGGCAGATGTTGTTCCATGATTTGACGGCGATAGGTCGAACAGGTGGCGAAGTACGGCGGAGCGGGCCTCGCCGTCTCGATGATGACGCGACCCTGAGCGCAAGGTACCACCGGCTCGCCATCCGCTGGTGCTTCCTCAGGCGTAAGGGGCAGAGCAGCGCCGCGGCCGAATTCGATGAACCACAGTTCGTCCCGTAACTCGCTTTCTCACTTCTTTTCATTCATGTCTTTGTTCAGATAGTGCAGAACGTAATGAAGGACCAGGTCGTAGCAGTACTTGTATTCCGTCTGCAATTAAATCAGGCATTAAAGGATCATTGGCGTATAGGAAATAAATCGTGATCGGGGCAATTCATAGTTTTGTTGTAATTAGGAACATTGACGGCATGTCGATATTAATTTTAAAGACTCGCTCATTTAAAATTCGCTTAATAATAAGATCAGAAATTTAAACTATCACACCATAATGCATTAATCTTAATAATTGTTAATTTAAATTATGGTTAATTTGTTTATCGTGTTTAATTATCGTTTATTTAGTATATATATTATATCAGCAATCACATAGTAATGTGTAGTCGTAAATTCTCTTATTTAAGAACGACTGCTATAAATTAATATCTATTCGCTTATTGCGGGATCTATCGTTAATTTAATTAACAATAGGTAGTTAAAAAAAAAATCGAATTAGCAATTTCATATTATCACTTTTTACAACAGATGCAAGTTAAAGCATTAATAACGAATATTTTTGAGTCATGAGAAATTCGCAACTTTTATATAATTTTCTTAATATTATGATAATTATTCTCAATATTAAAAGTTATGCGTAAGATCTGAACTCGTTAAATTTGACATTTTAATCAAATATAGATGAATCGATAGATTGTGAATTGAATTAGTCACGTTTCAATTAGTAGATAGTTAATGGTTCGTTAATTTATAGTATTTTTTTCTATTCAATGTATTAAAAAAAAAATTAACAATAAATATTTTTCTATCAACATTTTTCTTTTTTCAGTGAATGCTCAATTTTTTTTTATATATATTATTGCGTGAACTATGAATCGAGTCGTCGATAATCTATTTTCGACGAATGTATAATTAGTGTTTCAAGTTTCAAGAGACACGATATTCGAATTATTATTCTCTCTCTCTCTCTCTCTCTCTCTCTCTCTCTCTCTCTCTCTATTATTGACAAAAAAGTAATTATAACAAACTAAGTATCTATGATAATAATAGTTTATAAGCATTGCGATTGCTATCGATATTTTGAAGAACAATAGCCTTCGGCTCTGTGAATTATGCATAAAGCAATTAAATATAAATTTAAGCTTAGCGAGGGCTTAATCATTTTGTGACAAACCGTTAATCAAGTACTCCTAATGAAATATTTAAACACCTCATTATTAGTTAATTGAGTAAATATATTTATATAGAGAGGTAAAATTAAATAAATCATGTACAAATTTACATAAAACTGATGAAGATATAAAAAAAATAGAAAGAAAAAATTAATAAATTGCAAACGTTATTAACTGAAAGCATTGAATTATTGTAAATTGGATTCTAGTTATTGGATGGTTAGATTTTGACTAATAGATTTATTGGTAGTAATTGTATTTTCAAGTATTAATTGCATTTATTGCCATTAATCGTAATGGATAAAAGCTTTAAAATTTTTTTCACAGACGTAATAATAGAGCAGCTACGCGCACCGAATTAATTTTTATAAGAATCTTCCGACAGCGCTAATTATTGGAAAAATTAATTTATCACGTCCACGGTTATCATTCGGATTATTGAAACTGATAGATCCAAATCGTCAGTGTTTTTTCATCCGTTTTTTTGAGAGCCAATGGGATCTTTCATCCCAAAATTTTAATCACCAGAGATGGCCAATTACACTTTGCAAGAAAGGCTAGATTTCACGCGCATACTCGATTAATTTCGATATCAAAGAGCTCCAGAGCACCGATGACTAAAAATGCTCGTTCAAGGACGTAATATTAATGGAAACGCGAGCATGGGACTTCGGGTAATCACTCACCATGTTCTCGACGAGCTGAGGTCGATGGCGGCGCACTGTTTTCACCGCCTGGAATATGTCAACCTCACCGTGCTGTATGACCTGCTCTATGCACGCGTTGGCCGCGCAGTAGACGCCGCACCGACTCCTACCATCCGGGGAGACAACGGCCACGGGTCCGTAATCCGTGCGCTGGCGCCAGCGTTCCACCATGTTCATGAGCTCGACGAGGCTGTTGGTCGAGGTAGGCACTTGCTGGCCCATCGGCCAACAGGTTAGCTGGAACAGCTGCACCGTCTTCGGGGGTGCTTTTACTCCCGCCATCAGTTCCGTTAGCGAGACGATTTTCTTGTTTATTCGGAAAACCTACAAGTTTTTTTCGCAACATTAGGCAGGTGCTGCATCGGACGCGTTCTATCATCGACTTTCTTTTTCTATTCTGTTTTTGGCCTCTTTCCGTTTCTTTATCATTATTGTAGGTGTTGCTTCGGATATGGAATTAACGTCAAGGAAATTGTGGAAAGATCCATAGTTGATCGCGTGAATGTGTGTCGTTCCTCGCTCGTGTTAAAAACGCGAATATAATTATCGAGGGTAATATAATTATCTATTGATTTTCTAATGACTTATTTAAGAATGAAACACGAGAATGTAAGATTATCATGAACATTGCCATTTACCTTACAAAAAATTCATGAATATATAAATGTAATTTTTCATCCGTTTACATTAGAACTGTCATCATTAATAAGATGATTTAAACTGATAGACGTGGATGGATTAATGTATTTGTATTATTTTATTATTATTTTTTCTTTTTTTTTTTACGAATTTCCTATTATTTCCATCGTTTCGATCGATGTTTCATCGAAACGAATTTAGTGTTTATTAGTGCGCTCTACAAACAGACTAAAATCCGTTGAAACGAAATAGATTAAATTTATAGTAACTACACGGTAATTGGTAGTATCTTTCGTATCAATGGAAAAATCTATAGCAAATTAGAATATTTTTATTACATTGACAGACTATGCGGATACTACGCTCGGTAAATTTAATTAACAATCTTAGAATAAGTATATATATATATATATATATATATATATAAGTATAATAAATTGCTAATTTTATATTGATGCCAATCAATGTTTTAATTAATGGTTAAATTCATCAAATGTCTCTGATCTTTTATACGATCTTAATTAATAATCATTTCATACGCTCTCCGTAGTTTCTGTCTTATAAACAAAAATCAATAATGGCTATTTCTTATAAGATAATAAAAGTGGGTAATGCATTTTCAAATTTATTATTATCATAAAATCATAAATTAAAAAAACACCTAGAATGATGCATATAAATTTAATCTGAATTTGATTCGAAACATCAACGAAGATATTGAACGAAAATTCATACAGGAATCGTAGCATTACCTACTTAAAATATGGAATTTTGAAAGATTGATACAACAGCGAAGAATCATTCGATCGGACAATATCGTGAAAAAATAAATATTATTAATCATCTCATTGAAATACTTTCCGCTCTTTTGTAGATTGTAGATGACGCGGAAGAAGCAACTTATCGCGGGGAACAGAATTTGGTAATGGACTTACCCATGTTTTAATGTTGGTATAGTGATTGTGACTAATATGGTCTATCGTGAAGACGGGCCCGTACTTTTTGGAATGTCGGCCCTCCGGCCAGAAACTCGGATAACTGGTAGACCCTGGTGGAGGCACGCAGAGGACGACAACGGCTGCGCACTCGTAGTCGTAGACAAGGGACCAAAACTCTCCGAGGCTACGCGTTACCGGCCATTCGGTCACAATGTATTCCCTAGGTTTCGTGTAACCCTGTATGAGCATTTATTGTGTTAGATTTTGATTGGAAAATGTAAGTCATCGTCTGTGAGAGACGAGAGCTCGTTGTTTCATCGAATTCGAAATCATTGTAAGAAACTGGAACGTTCGACGTTCGACAAGCAAAATGACAAGTTTGAAATCTGCGATCTTATTTTTTACGGCTTGAGGCAATCATTTACCCGAGATAAATATTTTTTATAGTCCATTTACTCAAGGACCATTTACTCGAAACTTTAGCTTTGAGAAATTTTTGCTTATTGTTTATGGATACATTTCAATGTCTTATATTTTTACATTTTTTTTTATCTCACATTTTATATTATATAATAAATACTATTTTAAATATTCATAAAATAAAAATATAGATTTTGTTGTATATATTCCGAATAAAGTCTTACTCAGCCTTCTTGGCCACTTTTGTCGTAATAAATAATTTTAGAATTTGGAATAGGTAATTGTTTAATAAGTATTTACACGACGAAATAGGCATTAAAGATTATATCTCTACATTAAGATATTTAAAAAAAAAAAAAAAAAAATTGATAACATAATTCGTAGATAATTTATGTATAAATTTTATTTTATAATTATAGAATTTATATTTTACAGTAATCTAACGATTTTATGTGCAATTACTAACGTCTTTTTCTTTAATTCAATTTCTTCATTCAAATTAAATATTTGAATAAAATTATGAAGCGAATATCTATTTTTTCAACAAAAAAATCTCGAGTAAATATCGTAATTTAAAATTGCATCTATTCTGTTTTATTTGGTTAAATTTCGAAGTAACCAACTTTAAAATATTTCTAGAGATTTAAGGAAAAACAAATTTTCTCCTTTAGTTATTAATTATTTAATTAAACGATTTTACCTAACTTTGAGATTGACAAGTTTTATTGCAGAAATTAAGCACGTATTTATTTATATACATTTTAATGTAAAATTACATTCATCATTCATATAATAAAAATATTATATGTATTTATGGTTGATAAATAAAAATCTGTTTAAATTATTCAATAATACATATTTTTGAAAAATATTTCTTTTGCCAATAGTCATTTACAAATAAGATAACGAATGAAAAATATTTGACAACAATTATTCGATGAAAATTAATATCCAATTTATTAATAGGTATATGTTTTAACATTTTAATTACTATTTTATTAAAGTAGATGCATTATAGATGGAATATTTTATAAATCGTAATATATAAACAGTTGACAATGAAAAAAATTACTTACGTCAACAAATACCGCATTTATGTAGTCAGTGTAAGTATTTCCTTGAAAACTTGTTAAATATGGTCGAAAGTTATCAGCTGTAAAAAAAAAAAAAAAAAAAAAAAAAAAAAAAAAAATTGTCATTATAATTATTAGATATACGTATTAACAAAAAATCGATTTTTCAGGAGATTGACCAAGTTTGTTAATTAGTTTAGTTCATAAAATATTTTAAAAAATCTAAACCTCGTTATATAAACATTGGGCTAAAATATTTATGAATGTAATTTTAATGTAATGGGTATAGTTGTAAAAACATAATCGAAAATAAAGAATTTTTTAAATATTCGGAATACCTTCCGTCATCTTACAGTACGTAATTCGAATATCTCAAAGTATTCATTCATACATTATATTCTTTCGGCAAAAAAAAAAAAAAAAAAAAAAAAATAAAGAAGAAAGATCATATAGCCTCGAACGCTTAATGCATTACTAAAATAAATCCTTACATGTTCTATCGATAAATCTTATCACATAATGAGAGAAACTTACGTGGTACAACGAGGACGTCTCTGTTCTTCTCGCGATTGTCGGCTCTGTGTCCGCCCGCGCAGTCGCCGATCGTGAATCGCGGCGTTTGCTTGCAGATTTGCTGGTACTCCCGCTGATATTCGTTCATCTTTGTTATCGAGTTCTTCTGGCTCTTTTGTTTCAGTCGTACCGATAGCTCAGATACGGGAAACCAGGAGGCGCCGCATATCACGAACTCCTCGAGCGTGTCGTAGACAAATTTGTACTGCTCCTGATTGAGCAAAAGTCGGGGGCTTTATCAACTTCATTTTGAAATACGTGAGTGTTACGGGATTACGTTGATCGCTTCTTTTTCCTTTCCCATGAATTTTCACTATTTTTTTCTCGTTCCATAAGCGAGGATCATACGTTAATGACACTCGTTTATCGAATCCTTTATTCTGAATATAACCCAATGAGAATTTGTTTCCTCACATGCAATAAATGGAACGAATAGATGGAATAAAGCAAAGATGATTGAGAACCGTTCGTTTTTTAAGTTAAAAAACATCAATATCAAAATTAAAAGTAAAAAATTATACACTAACATATATATATACACACATATGGGTATATCAATATATAAAGCTGAAAAGCTTTGGAGTTTTGTTAGCTATAAATTACGTATAAGATTGTAATGAAATAATAATTTACCTTTTACCTTTCATGTTAAAAAATTCTTTTTCATTATATATGACTGAAATGCTCGACCTCAGTTTTAGTACTATGTTTCAAAAAATACTCAAATACTCCTCACGAATATTATTGTTAAGTTCATCGAGGGAATTGAATTTGTCTTACCAGATTTTCTATGAGACCTTTTCGGCTTTGTCGAAGTTTCTTCAGATACCCAAATACATCGAACGCATCCTCCTCTTCTGCTAGTTCCATATTTGCATCGATTGCCAAGTAAACGCCCGATCTCCCGCCACCATCGCTATTTATTTATAAAGTAAAAGATAAAATTTACGAAAATGAAATACTTGTGGAGATATTGTTAATTAGCATTTTCAAATTAAAATATTCTGCATGGAAAATCTTCCGATATTAAAAAACAATAATATACGTGAACCGTAATAATTAATTTTTCTAAGTATTTTTATTTAGGATTTTTTACTTGCAAATCAATTGAATTAACGTTATTCTTACAAATGCTAATAGACAGCATAGGTATTAAAGTAGAAAGTTAATCCGTGGATAATATGTACAGGATTATATATATAAACTATAATTTACATAGAATCGATATTGATTTGAAAAATTTAATAATACTTTGATTATCCCTTTTGTTAAATTACTCAATTATTTCATTCGTACGCTATCAAATTACATACCGTATTAATAAAAATTTCATCTCCATACAAACATTTCTTTCACCACAATCGATGTAAATATAAAACACTTATAATCTAAAAGAACACGAAGAAACATTCCAAACAAATAATAATTTCATAATGCTGCGATAATAAGGCTAAGAAGAACTAAAGCTGAAAAGCATACGAATACATTCGAGCACTATTGCTCATATTATTTTCCATACTTTTCATTTTCATTCCTATTCCCTTGCTTATTGCTTCTGGCAAAAGAAGGAGAGAAACTCACTTGCAATGTACGACCATCGGCCCAGCTTCACTTTTTAACGTCGAGCCCACTACTGCGCGTACGCGCCTTCGGAATTCAAGAACGGCGTTGCCGAATGGGCACGTGTGCGAGTGCCACTCTGTATAATGAAATTGAAGTATCGTCCGCTCTTTCG